ACCAATCGTGAAGTATGATTTATGGCTTGACATAAAATAAAAAACTCAAATTACAATAAAAAATAAAAATATATATCATGGTATCTAAGAATTAATTGACGTAGGAGCTCAATGTATAATATTTTATTTTATTATTTCAGTTTTTTTTTTTTAATATTTACTTCAAGTATTATATATATTTTGGACAGCTAATGCTATTAGTTTTCATGGTATCTAAGAAGGCCTATATATAAATAATTTGTAGGCTTTACAGCCAAAATTAATTGTTGTACCACTTTCTTTGAATTAATAGAAAAACTAGAAGGTATTTATAACCCCAAGTATTCATGGGTTTCAACTTCTTTTGAACTTGTTTTTTAGCCTTAGTTCTTTTGGTTCATTGCTATTTTCTCCCTATACTACATCAATGATGGTAATCAAAGCCTAATTAGATCCTAAGGTTTAAAGTAGTTTGCTGTTAAGCCATGATTGGATGTGTTAGAGCTTGAGGAAGAGGGAATCATTATCAAGAAACAGAATTGGCTGCACTACGACGAGCGGATGAAGAATTGACACGTGAAGTTCATGCTTGGTTTCGATTGGAACAAATGAGAGACCAGATGGAGATGCCGAAGCGTGCCCACAACCAGTTTGACAATACCGGAAGGTAGTCTTATTGAGAAATCTAATCTAGGTTTTAAAGAAAACTCTTTCATGTTGGACCTACAAAACCAGTAGTATGAGATCGATTGGAGGGACAGTTGGTTCATGCCCTTGAATCAAGCAAGGGTGGAATTAATATTGAAGTTGCTGATTTTGATGGGAAGATGCACATGGAATGTTAGAACCGATCTATGATGAATATCATGATCTTGCTCTTCCATGTGCATCTTCCCATCAAAATCAGCAACTTCAATATTAATTCAAACCCCGTTTGATTAAAGGCATGAACCAACCGCTCTTCCAATCGACCTAATGACACAGAAGACTAATTTATAATATTTTATTTTATAATACTTAGTTTAAGCATTAGTTACGTTTTGGAAAGCTAATGTTATTAGTTTTCTTGGGGTTTAAGTCTAGAGTTAAGAATAAAACTCTATTTGCAAGAAAGTCGAGTAACTTTGCTTGCAAGAATATCTAGTAATTTTGCTTGCAAGAAAGAAAGCCTATATAAATAAGTTTTAGGCTTTACAGCCGGAATTAATTGTTACTATTAATACTATCTTTGAATTAACAGCAAAACTAGAGGCTGTTTATAACCCTAAGTTGTTTTGTGTTCCAACTTCTTTCAAACTGGTTTTTCAGCCTTATTTCTTTTCGTTCACTGCTCTTTTCTTCCTATGCCACATCATTAATACTCCAGACGACCATGGTGTAGGTTCAAGTTCTCCCTCTTTCACATTATATGTATATATAAACAATAATAATCCACTATCTTACATTTAAAGAGAATCGTTAAGCATAGAAGATTCTAATTCCACGTTTTCTTTCTTCAAATCATGTGTAACAACCTCTGAATCGAGTTTAGTTTATTTCAAGAGTAATGTTGTTTCTTGAAGGATACAAATTTAAATGTTATAGTTTAACTTGCTTATGTTCTTCAAGTAAAAGCTAAAATTAAAACTTAGCATGTCTTCCTTTTTCCAAAATTCATGGTTGCATGAATTAACTCAAAAGATCAAGAAACAAATTGTAGCAATTTAAAAATAATCAGCAATAACATTCATTACCTATTACAAATCATACCAAAATTATGAAAAACAAATATAATGAATAGAGTTAGTTATTTAATAAATGTTTAGAGATTTTTTTTTATTCATAGCATATTACCATCAGCAATAGACGAGGAAATACTGCCTGTTGAAATTTATATTCCTAAAAAATGAGCGGTTAAATGTAGGCAAATTGCAGATGTGAAACGAGACCCTGCTTGTATGTTTTAACATAATTTGACATCTATCAAAATAAAATAAAAAAATCATAATTTGACATGCTCAATACTAGATACTAGAATGATATTAATGTTCACTTTTCAATCCTACTTCACATATCTAATGAAAAAGAGACTTGTCAGTCATTCAAGCAAGCAATCATTTTATAGAAAGTACAAATGTAAATCGAAATTCTGGTATACCATACAGTTTCTTAAAAGTAAATATAGAATTACCGGGATGGCCTTATGTTGATGTGCCAAATGAGTGCTTTCAGGGTGAAGTAGACAGCAACCTTCCAAGACTCTAAGCGCAAGAGCAACTTCTGAGTCCGTGGAAGGACTTTTAACCTTCATTGGCTCCACGCTGAATATGTGATCCAAGCTTCCCACCTTTTCATCCGCTGTTTCTTTCAAAGAATGCTCAAACAACACCGGAACCACTGCCACCCACATAATCATATTCACACATAAAAGTTAAGATTAAAAAAAACAATGAATTCTTGGGAGAAATAATTGAAGTCGTGAAACCTTGGAGCTCGGGGATTGACTGAGTCTGTGAAAAGAGACCGATGGAGGAGTCAGATTGAGCTATAGATCGAAGGGATTTGAGGAGGAAACGGAGGCCACGGACTCGGAGGAAAGAGAACTCGGCGCGGGCGTCACGGAGGCCGGTGCGGAGAGCGAGGGTGACTTCTCTGTAGATTCGTTGCTTTTTAAGAGAGTTAACTAGTTCTTCAACCGCACTCGTTGCAGCAGCCGATGCTGCTTCTGATTCTGGGTCTTTCGGCGATGACGATGATGGAGACGGAGGTTCGTTCGAATCTGTTGTCTTGCTCCATAATGCTTCTTTCAAATTCATCTCTATTAACCCGTTTTCTATTGGATTTGAAAATCTCTAAACTTTCTTTTTAGTCCTGTTTGGTTTGAAGGAAATCTGGGTAGAAGGAAACAAAATCTTGTGCTCCGTAGAGACGGAAAATTAAACCGGAGAAAAACGGGAACGTTTTTTCTTCTATAAAATGGCTTTATTATAAAAACAAAGAGTAAACTACATTAGTTATCCCTTTGTTTTTTATTTATATTATTTAGGTCATACTTTTCGAAAACGTTATGTTTTAGTCACTTTTATAGTTTTATTTTTTTATCTATCTTATTTTAGTCACTGGTTGGTTAATTTTCATTGCTTTGCTTACGTGGCATGTTAGTAAAAATGATTAAATTTTAAGTTGACCTCTATATTATATATAAAATACTAGTTTAATTTTAAACTTTATATAAAAATATTAATTTAGCCCTAAATTTTAAATAAAAATATTAATTTTACTCTTAAATTCGATCAAAATTCTTATCATTGACCGACACTCAACACGGTTATCGATCACTATTGGTTTCTGCCATCGGTCACCGTTTACCGTCGTCACCAACGATTATTGGACCCCTAAAATTTCCATATATAAACATGATGAGATTTGAAGATCTCATGACCAAACTTGTTGATTTTGAACTGTTAAAAATATGTCTTGAACTTGATAAGACATATATATATATATATATATATATATATATATATATATATATATATATATATATATATATATATTATATTGTATTGTATTGACACAAGTTTAATCAAATTTAATACATATTTTGACAACTCATAATTAATAAATTTGACCATGAAATTCTTAAATCTCATATTATATATATATATATGATTTTTTTCAAGTATTTAAATATATTCTTTTAAAGATACACTCATTAATCGATTGAAGAAAAAGTTTATACACGCGTCAATATCGTTTGGCTTATACAAATACATGTCTTTAACACATATCACATAATATTTTTTTAATATTTTTAGTTAATTATTTTCATTTCTTTCATTTTGACCTCAGATGATGCATTCATTATGGAATTGACCCGAATAACATACCAAGTTAAAATATTATAAGTATAATACATATAAGCTAAAATCTATGCATAATAATTACTTCCTTTTTTCCATTAAATTTATCCCTTATATTGAGTTTTTAAAAGTTTATAGATTTCAAAACTACATTAATCATTTTAAAAATATATTTTTCGTATTTTTATCAATAATAAATTTTAAATAATAAAAAATCAAAGTTGAAAAAAATTGACAAAAAATTATTAAGGAACAATATTGACCAAAAAATATTATAAGTACAATATATATAATCTAAAGAGATGACTATCCAGCTCAATTGGTAGAACACAAGGTTATTAATCTTGAGGTCGTGAGATTGAGTCCCACAGAGGACATTTCATAATTCAGAGGTTTTCTACGGAAGCTGCTCTCAACCTGATGTTGGGGGCAACCTACTATCTTATCTCCCCTTACCACATTACATATGGGAACAAAGAACAACCATTTTAATATATATAATCTAAAATCTATGTATAATAATTATTAATATATAAATATAAAATGTTATACTAATTTAAACACAAGCATGAACTAAGTGATCTCTATGGTAAATGAATACAAATATAAAAGTTCTATTTAATAAAAGAATTTAAAGGACTTAAATTAAATTGAAATTCTGAGAGGGAGTAAATATGAAATTTTACCATTTTCTTTTGGTAAATTTAAAGCTACATTATTAAATGAGGGTAAATTATTCATTTAGTGCATAAACCATCAATTTTGATATGTTTTTGTACCTAAACTTTTAATTATTTTAAAACTATAGCTAAACTTTAATTTTTATTTTATTTTAGTACCCCGTTAAAACTTTTGTTTTTGTTTCATTTTTAGTACATGTTCAGAATTTAAGGTTAAGTTTTGAAATTATTGAAAGTTTAGGTATCAAAATGGATAAAAATTGATAGTTTATGTACTAAACGCTTTAAGTTTTTTTATGAAGGGTACTAAAATAAAATAAAAAGTAAACATTAAATATAATTTTGAAAAAATTAAAAATTTAGATGCTAAAATATATAAAATTAATAATTTAAGTACTAAATGCATAATTTATCACGTAGATAATCAAAATTTATAATTTTGAGTTGTTATTATTTTGATGTTATAATTAAATTCAGTGAAACACAAACGCTGAAATACGGTGAACATAAAGGTCGGTTGAAACCCTAAGTTAGGATTTTAATTTTTAAACATTAAACCGAAAGAAATTTTGTGATTAAAGGAGGAATCGAAAACCTAAAATCCCAATCGGCGAGAGTGAGGTGCAATGGGAGTGATTAAAGAGGGTAGAGTATCGGGCACGTTGCCCAACAGTGAGGCGTTTGCCGTGCACTATCCGGGATATCCGAAGACGGCCGATCGCGCCATCCAGACTCTTGGAGGAACTGAAGGGATTCTCAAGGCAAGATTTCCTATAACTATTCTATTTGTTGGTATTTATTGATTTTAATTGTTTTTACTTGCGCAAGCTCGGTAATTATATCTTTGTTCCCTCTTAACAGGCTCGTAGCTCGCTGACAAACAGATTGGAGCTCCATTTTCGTCCCGAAGATCCTTTCTCGCATCCCGCATTTGGCGACCTTCGTCCCTGTAGCAATTTGCTGCTTAGAATATCGAAAAAGAAGTGTTCTAATGGGAAAACTACCGAAGCTTCTAGTAAGTTACATGAATGTTCAACATCTGGAGTAACTGATTCGGAAAATACGGTACGGCCTCCTCAAGTTGAAGTGCAGAGGCCAGAAGAAGAAGAAGAAGGAACTGAGCTTTGTGCTGATATCGTTTCTCGTATCTCGGAAGCATATAATTTTGATGGTTAGAATTCATTTTCTGTTTGTTTTAACTTTTAAGAACGGAGTAAGGGTTTTTATTGTTTTAGAAATGGTGCAAAGGTGATAGGTGCTTGCCTTGAATTTTGAATTTTCCGTTTTTGTTGAAGGAATGGCTGATTATCAGCATGTTCTCCCGGTTCATGCCGATGATGCCAGGAAAAGAAAGAGAAATTGGGAGGAAGCGGAGGAGCCATCCTTTGGTGAGGTCTTTATGGTTAAAGCTTCAACATGCAATGGAAATTAAATTAAGTTATGTTTGACAAATTTATTGTGTTCTTTTAATTGTTTGGCAGAAAAAGGTGGGTTCATGGATGAGGATCAGGGGGATGTGATGATGATTTTGCCCCCGCTCTTTTCACCCAAAGATATTCCGGAGAATGTAGTGTAAGAAATCCCTGGCTTTTTGTTTCTCTTTTACCGTATACTTTTTTTTGCCATATCTGTTTTGATTAAAGGGAGATTCTTAATTGAAGTTCATATTCTTACTTCTGGAAAGGCGTGAGAGTAACCTAAATCATCTGTACTATTGTGTAAATGTTTATATGGAAGGTAAATGTTGTTTGCAATGTTTGACTTATCAATCCCAGTGCAGGTTGTAATTAAGAAGTAGTGGTGAACTTGGTTCTATTTCTTTTAAGAAATTTCAAAAGAATGGAGGCATAGTTATGAGCAGAACTTGTCTTTAAAACGTCGTGTTTGATTTATGTTATCCAATTCTAGATTACTTGGAAATGTTGATTTCACATGCTTTGCTCTTTGGACGAACTTTGGAAATACTTTCTATTTCAGGTTAAGACCATCAACCATCTTAAGTTCAAAAAAGAAACAAGAGGGAGTTGTACAGTTTAGTGCGGAGGTATTGACTAAAATATTTTCTTTCTGCAATATATGCACTGAAACACAGTAAACATTAACATGTTTGCGAGCCTCTGCAGCAAACAAATGGACATGTACATGCTTAACCATATACATGCCTATGATTTAAGTCTTTAATAATATATCTCTGAGGGGGTGTTTGGATCAAGGAACGTGAGATTCCCATGGGAATAGAATCCACATTCCCATGTTTGGTTGGCCGGGAATCTCATTCCCGGTAATGTTTTATTACCAATAGTAGATTTTTTGAGATATATTACCGGGAATGTCATTACCTCACTTTCCTTAGATATTGTTGGATTACCAGTGTTTTGGACTAAAGTGCCCTTAATTTTTTTTTCTTTCAAAAATATCCTTTTTTTTCATTGAACAATAAAAATTCTACGATGGTTAAATTATAAATTTATCTTTAAATTATTTTAAATTTACAAAAACAAAATCTATAATTAAAATTTTATATGAAGTTCAGGGGTTAAAATAAAATTTTACCCTTTCATTAAACTTTTTTATATTTTCAATTTTGTAAAAAAATATATATAAATTTTATGAATTCAAAGTTTTTAAAGAAAATATATAAATATTTTCCAACTTGTTAAAAAACAAATATATAATAAGGACAATTTGGTCAAATAAACATTCTAATAATCTTTTATTCCTTTAACCAAATATGGTAATCTTACATTCCTGCTAAACCAACCAAACACAAAATATAACATTCATAGTAATCATATTCCCTGATAATCTTACATTCTCACCGGTAATCTTACATTCCCACTGGTAATCTTACATTCCGTAAACCAAACACACCCTGAGGGGTTTATCCAGGTTTTAGAACATTTGTAATAACTACTACTGTACTGGTATGAAAATGATTAGTAGAAAAGGTGGATTATCTTTTTCTGTATAGTTTTTATAGGCGCATTAATCTCACTATGTGGTTTAATCAAGAACATATGAGATACAATTGTATTTTAAATTTTTATTTTAAAATTTTTCACACTGTGACATGCATCTACCCGGTCAAAAGTTAATGACAACTTGCCTTTCTCATGTTATGATAACACTGAGCAAGAATATAGAACAAATGAAGCTTTGTTGCTGATCTAAGTTTGTGGTGGACTTCAATACACTTTCCTTCCCTTTTAATAATGCTACTTGTTAAACTTTTCATTCTCTGTATCATTAAAACAATACGGGCATGCTTGGCTGCAGTTAATATCTCCTTTCTTTTCAGCAACATCTTATTTTAGCAAGGAGAGATGTTTGAACTGCTAATTTTGTTTCCTTCCATGCAGGTTGACCTAGAGCCAGGCCTTGCAATTGATTTCAACATTAAAGATATCCTGCTGATTGCATTTTATATTTCTGCTGGATTTTATATTTTGTTTTCTAATAACTAATGTCAAAATATGCTTATAGTCTCTCTCTCTATATCATATTGGATTTAGATTCTTTTGGATCTAACCTTTAGTTTCTTTATGTTGAAGAAAATCTTTTACGATGATTTAGTGTGTATATATATATATATATATTTGCAAATATAGATGGAAATATTTAACTTAAAGAAGAGACTCAAACATGAACAATGTAAAGATTTATTCACCATCTTCCTGTTGGACTTAGCGTTCGCACAGGTTCCTAAGACTGTGAACTGGGAAGAACTTATAACCCAAGGCTCAGAGCAGTGGGAGTGGCAGATGATTGTATCTAAGCTGTTTGATGAACGACCTATATGGCCCAAGGAATCAATAACTGAGCGCTTGCTTGAGAAAAGTCTAAAATTTAGCCATTTGGTCCTTAAAAGGTCTTGTATGAAACCTTGCGCTCCTATTTATTTAAGGTTTTCCTTGGAACAGTTTATGTACTTGATGATCTTATCTCTCTCCTTTCAGGCTTCTACTTGGGGTTGCTTACTACTTTTCAAATGGACCATTTCTAAGATTCTGGATCAGAAAAGGATATGATCCTCGCAAAGATCCTGAATCTCGCATGTAAGAGTTCTTGCAATAATCTCCTTTGTTATATCTTATGCTTGATGGCTTCCATTAAGTCAATTGCAGGGTGCTTTCTTCTGTATTTTCTTTTATCAGATATCAGAGAACTGAATTTCGTGCACCTGAACCATTGCGAAGCTATGCAGATGCTAGTGCAGCTAATAAGTAAGTTGATACTAATGTGTTTGAATAGACGAGATCTAAGGTGGTGTTTGGTTGGCATGAATCCCTTGGAATTAGGGGGAATTGAAATACCTCATGGCTTCAACTTTCCATCAAATGAGAGAAAGTAATAGATGAAATTCATTTCCCTTGTTGGAGGGAATTGAAATTTGACCATACTACACTCATCAATCTTTTGGTAACTTATTCATGTATTGAATAAAAATAATTTTTTATTATTTTGGGTCGGGTCGGATTTCTAATTCATATATTCGGTTCGGGTGAAACTTTATTTTGTTCGAGTTGGGTCGGTTTTTTAAGTGTGATATTCGGGTCGGGTCGGGTCGAGTTCAGGTTTATGGTGAAAAATACCCGACCCAAAAATATATATAATTTTACCTTATATATATTTAGGAATAATTACAATAATACCTCTCTATATATAATTTTTTTCAAATAAGTCACTGTTTTTATTGAATAAAAATATTTTTTTTATTATTTCGGGTTTGGTCGGGTCAGATTTCTAATTCATATATTTTGGTCGGGTTAGGTGAAACTTTATTTTGGTCGGGTCGGATCGGTTTTTTTTAAGTGTGATATTCGGATCGGGTTCGGGTTTAGGGTGAAAAATACCCGACCCGACCAGACTCAAAAAATATATAATTTTACCTTACATATTTAGAAATTATTATAATAATACCCCTCTATATATATATATATATTTTTCAATTAAGTTATTGTTTTTATTGAATAAAATATTTTTTTTATTATTTTTAGGTCGGGTCGAATTTCTAATTCATATATTCGAGTCGGGTCGGGTGAAACTTTATTTTGGTCGGGTCGGGTCTCGGATTGAGGTTCCCTTTAGGGATGGCAAACGGGCGGGTCGGGTGCGGATACCCCCATCCCCATCCCCATACCCACCTAATATTTTTCAATCCACCACCCGCCCACCACCCATGATGGATACAAATTTTCAAATCCACACCCGCCCACGCGGGTACATTCTCAAATTCATCCCCACATCCACTACCCTCTAGCGACGTACCCGTCTAGACCCGCCTGACAGCAAACTTAAGTTATACATAAGCAACAAACATAAAAAAACATGTCCATTAAGAAACATAATAAAATAATCTAAGGATTATCTAAGTTAAGTGTTAATATAGATCTTAAAATACATAAAACACCATAATAAAGGACATAATTAAAGTCTAGAAACATAAATGACAAACACATAATGTTTTTGTTATTTGGCACAACATTCTAAAATTTCAGGCAATATTTGTGACATATAATACTCCAGTATTACAATCATCATTCTCTATTTCCTTCAACTGAGAGCGCTCCAATTTAAATTCACTACTACCTACATATATAATAGAAAGTAAAACTAATATAAGTTAGTAACTAAACTTTAATAAGATAATTAAGCACAATTTGACAACTAATATAAATTAAATAATAATATTACTTTTAATATCGGCCCAAAGCCAATTTTGAGTATACATTAATGCTTCAATCATCTCCGGAAGTAGTTGACTACGATAAGGACCAATTACTCTTCCACCTATACTGAATGCAGATTTTGATGGGACAGTGGAGACAGGAATGCCCAAAATATCTTTTGCCATTTGTTGGAGAGTTTGATAAATTACATGTTATATCTTATACAATATTAGAATTTATAAATTAGTCTATAAAATTACACCTAAATTCATAATGATCCAAAAATTTAATGGATATTTAGCTGGGCGGGCGGATGTGGGGCGGGCGGATGCGGGGCGGGTAATGTCTCAAACCCATTACCCGCCCACCACCCGCGACGGGTACCACTTTCTAAATCCACACCCGCCCACTACCCGCTAAAATTATACCCATCCCCGCCCCAATTGGAGCGGATGCGGTGTGGAATCCACGAAACTGTACCCGTTTGCCATCCCTAGTTCCCTTGTTCTCGGGTCGGGTCGGGTGGACCAAAAACCCAACCCAACCCGACCCATGGCCATCTCTAATTGGGATGATTTTAACTTATAATATTTATTAGCATGATTTTTATAATTTATTGAAATGAATAATCAATCAATAAAATTAAAATTTAATTTTTTTTAAATTTTTATAATATATTGCTACATGTAATTTATAAAACAAACTAAAATTAAGAAAAAAAACAAGAAGGACAATCCTGTTATTTTATATTACTGAAATCAAATTCATCTGACATGTCTGCGAACCAAACAGAATTCAATTTCCTGCCAACCAAACAGAATATGGAATTGGATTTCAATTCCTGAAAGATTCTAATTCCTTCACAGATTCCAATTCCCTCAGAAATATTCTAGCGAACAAAACGGCACCTAAGTTTCTGATAGTTTAGTTTTTATAGAATCCTTTTAGGTCTAGAAATAGATAATTTTGTGTCCACAATTTATAGCACAACATACCGTAATAAAAGGATTATGATGGTGGATCATCTAATATTCATCTTGACAAGAAATTATCTACATAATATGACAAATACAAGGGCTATAGCTCGGTTGGTAGAGCACCTCGTTTACACGCGCGCCAATGTTTTTCAGGGAAGTCTATCGTACAATCAGTTGATCTTTTTGAGAAATCAATGTCTTACTCCATTACTTTGAAGGAACAACACAAGAGAACAATAGCCTGACAAATGGTTTGGTCCGATTCGGGTGCCATTTAGTTTAGGCAGGGCCTGAATTGAACCCATCATTCGCCTCTTTAAAATGACTCGCCTGGGAGAGTGTGAAACGCTATCCCCTTCCATGGCTGCGTCTTAATGCTTAGATGCACCTTAACAATACTGATTGACAGCAGTTGCTTGATATTCCATTCCATCCAAATGCTTGTGCTGAGTTTTAATACTTTGTTTGAAGATTATTTTCCTAATATCTTCTTTTATGACACAGCTTGAAGCATAAGTGGGGAGATTTATGTTCTTTCCAAGTATTTCCTTACAAATGCCATACATTATTTCAACTATTTGAACTGGATGATGATTACATTCAACAAGAGATAAGAAAGCCTCCGAAACTAGTAACATGCAATGTGAGTCTTCAGTATTGAACAGACGTGCTGGTTAGTTTATCTCTGGTGTCATCCAATGGATTTTTTCCCTTCCTTTTCCCCCTAGAACAGATGTTTATACGATGGCAGTATAAGAGTCTTAGATGATTGAATTTTTTTTTTGGAGCAATCTCCTCAAGTTTCTTGCATACAAGTCGAAACATAATTCATTTTACAATTCTAGAGAGAATATTTAAGGCTTATTTTATGTATAAACTTTGCAGCCTAAAACAGGCTGGTTCTCAGAGTGTATGCTTGATTGCCTGAGACTTCGCGTAGCAGTAAGGTTCTTATCAATATATCCTGAAGCTGGTGCAGAAAGCATATTGAAATCTTACTCCGATGAATTTGAGAAGTTAAAGAGATCATGCATGTACAAGGATGTCTTCAACTCTCAAGAAGAGCACCGGCAAACTAATAAAGGTTCAAATGAGCAACCCTTTCTTTAAGTTTCTTGACATCTCATCTTTTATTCAATTGTTTTTTAATTGGATTTCAGTAATGAGTTCCATAAAAGCACCTTTAATGTTAGTTAAAATATTATTTACGTTCATATTTTTATATTGATTGCAGTAGGAAATAGTTGATGCGATATTTTCAACTCATTGTGAAAAGACTATTGAAATGATCACCTTAATAATATCCTTATCAATTCCATGGTTCATTTAAGTGCCCTACTTTTTCTATAAAAAAAAAGTGCCCTACTTCGATTTTTATGTCACTCAATATTGATGATAATCGATCTTAATCTAGCAAAGCAATATTGAAATTGTTGTCATTGAATGTGATTTTAACATATTCATGTAACTCTATGTTGACCCATGCTTCTCTTTTCTTGAATCTATTTATTTGCCATATTCCTCCTTTTTTGCTGCAAAGTTTGGTTTTCCATGTTATCATTGATTTTCTCCCTTTGCCATTCTTATCGAGGCCTGCCATTCTTATCAAAAAAAAAAATTTGATTTTCTCCCTTGCCAATATTACTTGTACACAATTTTCTATTTTCTTAGTGAATTCTTAGGACCTTTCAATCAAAACTAGATTGCATTCTTCTTATATCAGGCTGGTTTCACTAGCTGCACTAAAGTAACCATTTAAGTTGCTATAGGTGATGAAGATAAAGAGAGACCCAAAAATTCTGATAATGAGGAAGATGAAGTTGAGGCTGATGATGAAGAGGAATTGGATATGTATGAGACACTTAATCTTGTAAGTCATTTGTCCTATCTTTAACATTTTTGTTAACACTCGATTGATCATTATGTTACTGTATATTTTCCTTATTTCATGGTTGTCTCAGAATAAGAAAAAACCACAAAGGAACTTTATTGATTTCTTTTTTCATTTGTAGGATGATGAAATCTCTTTGCAACCTGATACATGTATCCTCGAATCAAGGCAGTCTGCTTTTCTTGAAAGCTTGCATCTTTTAAATAGAGTTGTGATTTGGCAGTTAGCCGTGCTTTTGAGCATGTGTAGGAAAAGCACATCTAGGGGCAATTCAGGCTTAAAGATTCATTACCACTTACTCTTTTATGCAATGCAGGCTGTTGGGACTTCTTTTTGCAATGGTCACCTACCATATTAGGCTATTTTGTTTGTATATAAGAGTGAGTCTGCATTGGTATAAGCTAAGCTCATTATGTTAAAATTAGTTCTCTTGTGGTAGCTCTAAGAATGAAAATATGTGATTCCAGATCTCTCAAGCCATACTTCCATAAAAATCTTTTAACAGAGCTAGAAATGAATTTATATTCTAACTTCTTAGTTTATACGGATATTTTTATTGTGGGAGGCGACTCTTCATTTCTAATAAAGTATTTAAATTTTAAACGATTATAGGTCTTCAGTTTCAACCTCAAAGTATCTAAGCTTTTCATACATGCATAGATATGCTAACACATACAAGCATGCAAACGCACGCATATAGATACATGTTGATGTAAACCTATGAGTTTTGTATTTGGTTTGTTCCCATCTTCATGTTCCTTGTCTGCTTGAAATTTCCTATATATTATGTAGATTTAGATATGGAGAACAACTCTAGGACATACTTGCAAGAGCTTTTTGGTAGCTTTCCATCAACGGTATCTGGTGCTGCTGATGCTATACAGGCAGCAGACGGTAGTGATGGGGAATATCAAATATATGAGCAATTTAGTGATAATAACTACTCTGATGATGATGACGAAGATGATGGTGATGATGATGACGGTGGTGATGACAACTAACATTCGTAGCCCAGAAGTTTACAGGTAGCTTTCCTCCCTTTGTTTTGCTTCCTTTTTGGTCATTCTCCATGCTTCGCTTACAGCACAACTATCCAAGACTCCTGATGGAATTTTTTGTGATTGATTCATCTGTTAGAGGGTATAGCTAGTATTTTTCCTAGGCTATGCTTTTTATAGAACTCAAACTAATACTAGCTTCGTGTTCGTGATCCCCAATGCATTATTGTTATTTTGAAGCTATTGAAACTCGTTATATAACATCTCTGAAAAAAATTATAGTCTCGACTTAAAAATAGAACACTATCCAATTTAGAGTTTCTCTTCTTGTGCTTCCTTTTTGTATCTGTATTTTGCGGAATTCTAAAATAGATTGGACATTACATTGTTGTGGTGCCTTTTGGTATTTTTTTGGCAGATGGGTGCTGCTGCTGAATCATTTGTAAATTAATTACAGGACATGGACATTTGTAAATTAATTACAGGACAAGGACATTTGTAAACTAATTAAAGGAGGCAAAATGAATTTCTTTTTTTCCCCCATGGAGGATCATCACACTTAATGGCTAGTCGCCTAGTCCATTGTTAGGGCTGTAAACAAATTGGGCTTTCAATGCACAACCGTCTATCCATTTTTCTGCATATTTTTTAGATTCCACTCTTGGTATGAATTTTTAAGCTTTGCACGTTTATTGATAGACATTAATCTATTAAAATAGGTTTTTTAAGGTATGTTTGATTTATGAGATGTTGGATTATCTTTAGGAATAAGATTATGTGACTATGTCAAATGTTACATCGTGATATGTAGTTGATATAATATTACTTTTGAAGTAAATTGTGATATTTATATTATTTATTTTTAAATAAGTTCTCCCTCCCCCTCAATTTCTATAAAATTATTAATTATTAAAATTCTTATTTTTTATTACAATTTATATACCAATCAATAAATATATAATGCTAAAAAAGTATAAATTTGTTATGAAATAATCTAAACGAAGCAATAAGATAGAACAAGAAGAACGAAAGGTATATGATCAATGGGAGAGAATTGTATTATTATCTCAATCTAAGTTGCGTATAATGCTTTCTTTAAACTCCATATTTATAAGTATAACAAGATATTATATAAAACTCTAACTCTAATGGATATTAAAGTCATAATAAGTAAATCAAAATACTATCTTATATATAGAGATAAAAGACAGAGATAGATATCCACATAAATAAATATTCATAACACTCATTCTTGAATGTGTATGAAGATAATGTGCTTCGTTAAAACTTTATTAAGATAAAAACTCTGCGGGAAAAACTCTTAATGAAGATAAAAGAATATACATATCTTTAATAAGTATAATAATGTTGTCTCATTTAAAACCTTATCAGGAAAATCCAATGGGACAAAACCATGGTTAAGAGAAAAAGAGTACAACACGTATTTGCTCCCTTCATGATAATATCACATAAGATCTTTGGATATTACATCTTAATCTTGAATACAATCTTAAAACATTCAAGTAAACAATACATCAATGAATAGATCTTTTTATATTATCACTTGAACGGATTCGTCAAATATTTACATTGCTCTTCTTTTGATGTATCATCTTTTCAATTATTCTAATTTAAGTACTCGATCTACAGGTCAAGACAAAACTTGATTTCAAGATTATTTATATCACATATTCCTTTAAACGATTAAGATACTTTTGACTTTTAGGAATTCTATTTTAAAGCTCTTTAGGAGTTTCAATTCAAAGTACACATTAATTATCATAATTTGATCTTGATGTCTGTATAAAGACATATGAGCGAGTAGGTTCTCATCGATTCAGATATATCATACACATTTAGATTGATTCATTTCATCTAAATAATTAAACGGATATATTTGTACAAATTTAGTAGAAATTTGTAAATGCTTCTAGCATTTTAATTCTTCAAGGATAAATATCATTATACATGGATCCACAAACCATTAAACACGCTATAAAGTTATCATAATTGTCAGAGTAATAAAGTAATTACATCCACCACAAATTTAAAGTCTTTATGATTCAAGTCGTATTGTATATCTTATGACTACTCATTTATACCTTATTTGCATTACACCTTTAGGTGTTTGGACTATTTGTCCATGTTTTGGAAGTTGATTTAACTTCACTTGAATAACGTCTTTCTTTGTATCTCAAATTATTTTCACATTTATACTTCTGGATAGATTTCAATTCAAGATCCTGATTTTATTTCTTTACTTCTATAGAAATAGTATTTGTAAAATCGTTGTCGACAACTTTTCTATTTTGGTTTTATCATTTTCTCGTAATGACATAACTTATAGAGATATCTTCATTATTCCAATTTTCATTTTTCAAGTACCTAAAACTCTTCTAGAGATATATTATTAGTTATTTCTTGGGTTTTTCAAGAGTACTTGCCTCCGCTATATGACCATCTTATACTACTTTTTCATCTATGAGAATTTTAACCATTGGGTCTATCATGCTTCGGGCATGGTTCACATTCTTTTGCTCTAACATGTTATCCTTTTGGGATTTCGATTCAATATTAGAGCATTTTCAATTGGTATATGAGACTTGATTACTCTCATTAGGCCAGTAAATATTTATGGTAAACTTGTAATGAATTATCTTATAAACTTCTGGTTCACAACACTATGTACGAGGAGGATCTAAATAAAGTGATAATTAATTTATATTTTCATCCAACTGATTCTTTTATCCCCTGATGAAAAAATAATTGAATATCAAAGCAATCAATAAAGTGAGACTTATATTATATTATGTTGTGTTGTGTTGTGTTGTGTTGTGTTGTGTTGTGTTGTGTTGTGTTGTGTTGTGTTGTGTTGTGTTGTGTTGTGTTGTGTTGTGTTGTGTTGTGTTGTGTTGTGTTGTGTTGTGTTGTGTTGTGTTGTGTTGTGTTGTGTTGTGTTGTGTTGTGTTGTGTTGTGTTGTGTTGTGTTGTGTTGTGTTGTGTTGTGTTGTGTTGTGTTGTGTTGTGTTGTGTTGTGTTGTGTTGTGTTGTGTTGTGTTTCAAATATCAATTTATGTACATTTGTGGTGGATCAAAATAAACATATAATGTACAACTAAAAATTTTATAATGGGAAATATATGGCTTCTTACCATAAGCCAATCATAAGGAGGGTTATAACTTGTTGGCTTGATATGTAGTAGCTCTATATGTGAATTACTATATAGATACAAAAAATTTTGTTATCATAGTTTAGCTATTAAAATGAGGCAATAAAAATTTTGCTAAACTGTTTATTGATAAACTATAGGATTTGTAACAGTTATTTCAACTGATACACAATATAATCTTTGAAAGCCTAGAACATAAACACACTAAGTTTAGCAAAACGAATATTCTTAATTGAATAATCTGAAATATTTCCTTTTCTAATCAAGTAAATAATCTCACAAACTACATGTTGTGAGTTGATAACATATATGTGATTTATCTCATAGATGCATCTACTGAAATCATAAAAAAAATTCACTTCGTGAATAAATGGACCTATATTTGAATAAGATATGCAAGACATTCGGTCTCAACTAGTGACGTTCTGAATTCTTTTGAGAACAAATAACAAAAGAACTTCAGGTTCTTTTACTTAATATTTATGTAAATCTCAATATTTTTACGTCATTATTGATTGGGATAGTCTAACCAATCATGTCAACTAAAAAAAAGGTAAACTTGTAAACTTTTGGTTTACCATAACATTTGATTTAATGTCATTCATACAAGCATGTAAACTTTTGGTTTATATCATCCAAAACTTCTATAATTAATTGAATTCAGTACTTGATACATACCTTAATGAAAGTATGAACTCGGAATATACCATTTGACTGCATATTTCAACGTATTGGTTATCAACTCTCATTCCAAAAACTCTCTTTATCTGAAAAATTACGTAACCATTAATAAATAATTAAATATATAAATTAAAAATATGTAGCCAAAAGACATGTATGCATTAAATCGATTTCCACATGCATATCATACTGTGTTGCCTTTCCAATCTGTATATTTCTAAGAAGCAACAAGTACTAAATTAAAACAAATAAATAATTAATATTTTAATTGTTCACACTTCTAATGAGTGTAAGAGGCCGTTTGTTTACTGCTGAATGGAACCATTCAACGTTGAATGTTGAATCGTTCAGCATTCAGCGTGTTTGATTCTCACCTCTGAATGAAGACTATATTGAATGAAACATCAAAACACTGCTGAATTATTCATCATTAAAGTACATTCTGAATCATTAAGCACCCGATATTTTACCATAATACATATTTCTTCACATGTTGTCTTATTAAACAAACATATCTTATAATATAATAAATCATTATGAAGGTAAAAATGAAAATATTCATAATTCAGATTGTACATTCAGAACCATTATCAAACAATATGTCACATTCTGAATCAATTCATATAGAGCCATTGAATCATTCAGACCATTGAATCAATCAACGCTTAATCATTTTATTTTATCAAACAACCCCTAAGTATTCTTAAACTGACCACAACATCCATATCATTGATTGTGATCATGACTATGGACACATCCATCACCACAACCAGAATTGTTAAAGTGATTTTTTTTATAATATATCACATTCACTTCAAGGAACGAAGGAAATCGAGACTCGTGAGTTTCCTTAACCACAAGAAACAAGACATTAACTTAAAAATACTTCTTAAAATTCTTTTTCATGATATAGTGTCTATGGGGCAAATACATTTAGCTTTTCTAGAGCTTTCACTAGCTTTTGTAATATTGGTTTACTATGATCAATAAGATAAATAAATATAAACTATAGTAAGTGTACGGAGGTTGATAATAATAAAACCATCATTCTTGTTCACGTATAGACCATTATAAACACTAAACAACCTTCCTTTCATAGTAAAACCGTAAATAAAAATACCAAATCTCATAACCAATTAATATAAGAAAATTAACACTAAGAAATCAACCTTTGAGTTTTATCATTTGTTATCAATCTCAAAAATATTATTATAAAAGAGAACAATAATAGTCGATCATTATAATTCAAATATGCTAAATGAATAAATTCCATCAAGGTTCTTAGTCCATATAAAATTTTCAACCATAATTAATATCCAATTAGTAGGATATACACTTTTAGCATATTAACCTAATATAATGAATATAAGCCGAGAATGAGAGAAAAACTAGGTTGATGATGTTAACTAATCCATGTGTAATGTAAGACATAATCAACGAAATTCCAAAACATATCATGCATATCTAAACTTTAAAATCTGGGCAATACTAGCGAATAATTTAGGTTGTTTACGAAACATGTTAATGCACACCCAAACATATTATTCAAGCTAAAACAAATACGAATAACCAGCCATGATATAACATGTATTTTCAGCCTTTGTGTAACCCCTAAACCCGGCTTGGATGTTACGATCGAATAACATTTGATTGAACAGGAATGAAGAAAATATCGTTTTTAACATGCAT